TCAAATCGAAAGTACAGTTTCAACAAATAATACACTGCATATATTCTTCTTAGTGGTTAATTGCTGTACAAGATGCAGACTTGTGATCCTATTTACAAACACCATTAGAAAAAATTATTCTATTCATTATCCCCATCAATTCTTAACCTCACATTATTTCCAGGTTACTCTAATGTCCATTCTTTAGAAAACTAAAACACAGGAGGCTGGAAGTGTATCTCAGTAAGAGAGTGCTTTGCTTAACCTGAGCCAAGCCCCTAATTTGATCCCCAGCACCAATCAATCAATCAATAAAATACAGCCTTGCCGGGGATATAGCTCAGCGGCAGTGTCTGCCTGGCAAGCTTGAGATCAATTCCCAGTAAAAGAAAAAAGAATGAATAAAAAATAAAATACATTCTTTTTGTCATTCCAAATCTTGTACATATGTACAGTTCCATCCTTATTTCCTGATGGCACTCCAATTTTACTATATTAAAGACGCCTAGGGGCCAGGGAGATGGCTCAGTAGAATAAGCATTTGCCTGTCAAGCTCAAAAAAGACACCTGTTCACTGTTTCATTTGTCTTTTTTTTTTTTAATGTATTTAATACAGGTTTTTCAGAGTCCCCAGGGTCTCACTACGTAGATCAGACTCTAGTGATTCTACTGTTTTCAGCCCTCCAAGCGCTAGGATTATAGGAGTGGGCCACCGCACCCAATCAGGCTCAGGCTCACACCCCCAAGGCATGGCCTGCACCACACGCCAGGGATCGAACCTGGCTGCTGCATTCTGCCTAAGCAGGTGCTGTAGTCTGCTAAGATATCTAGCCAGCCCTGTCTTCTTCTTCTTCTTCTTCTTTTTTTTTAAGGGATCCACTGTGTTGCCCAGTCTGGTCTTGAACTCTGAATTCAAGCGATCATCCTACCACAGCCCTGGCTTGTTTGCTGTCTTGTTCAGTGTGTGACTTATGTGAAATACACAGAAGCACACAGCAGACAACATGTCTGTTGTGTCCCCAAGACTGTCCTCAGCTTCACACAGAAGCAACTCCTCACGGCTCAACCACCACTTACACTAAATTTCTAGGGCAAAGTGGAAAGCTCCTGGGCTTTAGTAGAGATACAGAGAAAGAAACTTTCCTCGAGTTTGTTTTGCTTTCTTTTTGTTTAGATTTGTTTGTTTGTTTGTTTTGTTTTTACTGGAACCGGGGATTGAAGCCAGGCCCTTGTGCTTGCCAGGTAAGTGCTTATTCCACTGAGCTATCTCCCAGACCTAAGTTAGGTTTTGTTTTGTTTTGTTTGTAAAAGAAGAAAAGAAAATTAAGACATGATAATAAAAAAGATTCCAGAACTCTGTTTAGCATTGAAAATGTTACAAAGACTGGCCTGCACAGGAGTTAACATAGGTCAAACTCTTGATATATTGTCATGCTGTTTTCCCAAAAATACTCCAAAACTACGAACTGAGAAACTTATTAAAAATGTCTTCATTTCAATATTTAAAAAATGAGAGAATTGCAGTTAATACAGTTGCAGTTAAAAAGGGCTTATAAAGGGCTCAATTATTTACAAAAGAGATAAGGAGAAATGAAGACAGGTACAAACAGTAACAACAA